GATGGGCAAGGGTGGAAGTCCAAGGGGCTGGAAGTCTGAGAGCTGATAGGAAGGATAGGGTGGATGGCTGAGGGCTTGGGACTATCAGTATTAGAGCTCTGAGGATCCCATGGGGTTGAAGGACATAGCTTCTTAATGTTCCATATTGCTATTGGGTTTATTGTAGCCCTTATAAGATTGAGACTAAAAGGCTCCAAGAGGGAACTTTTTAAGGAGCTTGGAAGATGTTTAAGACTGGCAGGGCTTCCATGTAGGATGAGGCTGTAATGTAAAATCTAAAGATGGAAACAGATGTACCTTCAATTCTGACAGTGTAACGGTCCAGATCAGGAGAAGGGTTAAGTGGCAAAGTACTTCAGTTTTACAAACGGATGTACATGCATAAACAAGTTGTTCTGCTAGTTTAAATGTGCATTTATTTCACTTGTAAATATAAATTAACTGGTTATACATGTAGCAATAAACAGTGATTGTCTTACAGACATACAAAGCATTTTTGCTAATTAATATTTCCAAATGAAATAAATTTCATGAAAATGACAATTTTAAGTGGGCGACTTTTTCAAATGCTCTGGCAATGTGGATGTCCAACTTGGAAAATACAAAATGCACATACAGTGTGGAATTTTGCCCAACAAAAAACTCATAAAGATGAAGAAAAAATTTGACTGGAGCGGGATTTGAACCTGCGACCTCCGAAACACAGTACCAGTGCGCTACCAACTGAGCTATCCAATCCTACATGTATGTCAGTGGTTCTTCCCATTTGTCAATATCTCTGTTGGGCAGGGGGCAAAGTTGTTAAAAGTGAGGTTCAGATCAGCCACTGGGATGACCGCACAGTGCTGGTATTTTGGCTGCCTCAATGGGAACACCATTCAATTTTTAAAAGCATGGAACAGTTACAAGCCTTTAGTCCTCAAATGAAGCAGTGTCTAAGGGTCTTTCAAAATGCTAATTATTTGCAAATTTTGAAGTACATGTATAGCATCTTGATAACTTAAATGAAAAATAAATGTTTCTAAATGGGCATTAATGTGGGTCAATGCATTAACGATGATGAGAAACAATCTGAGGTGAATAATCGTCTTTTGCTAACTGACCAACACGGGCTAAGATTTTTCCATATCTCAAATTTGTCATATTTGACCAAATTAAATAGAATGTCAAGGGGTTTAGCCTTTAATTAAATCATAACTACAGATTTAAGCAACCGATGTAAGCCTGTGATTTCTCTCCAGGAGGCCTAATGGTGATCTTTGTCTGCCTCCTCCAAGGAGTTGTAATCCACCTCCATGGAGTCTTCTTCCTCCTCACTGTCTGGTTCGTCTTGAGGGTCGTCCTCTACGCACGGCACTGCGCCAGCCTCTCCCTGAAAGAGATGCAAATGTCCGCATAAATTAGGCTTGTGACTTACGTCTGTGCTAACAGCCAGGGGTCAAAGGTTGGAGGCCCAGCTGAGCATAGTTTTTCCCCTCCCTAAACTTTCAGAAAACAATGAACACGTTTTCATGTGTAGCCAAAAAAAAAATGCAATGGTGACAACAAAATTACACGTGGATGTTTCCAACGGATGCGTTGAAGTTTTCCCTCTTGGAAGAGAAGTCACTTTTTTAAAGAGGCGTCCTCCTCATTTTTTCATGCTGATTTACCCCCAACAAAATTCATCTCCGGAAGTGAATGCTTACCGGCTGAGCGTGCCCAGCGGTACCAGCGGAGTGACATCCCACGCTTGATCTGGCATGAGTTGCGATTGCTGCTGATGGCAATACGCCTGGACAACAGAGAAAAATCCCGACAAGGATACATGACAAGACCACCGCACCAACGGACCACAGCGTTAAGTAGACACAAGATTATAGCAATACAAGTGCTCATATACATGTAGTGCAATTCTATCATTACGCTTTACAGAAAAAAGAAAAATGCAAAGATAAACAATTTTACGGGCAAAAGTTGAGGGAAACTATACAAAAGAAATCTATACAAAAGGAATCAATACAAAAGGGTGTATTTTAACAGGACACTTGCACAACTCGGGGCTAGGAGCTAATCATATTCCAGGGGCGAAGAAAGAAAAAGATCTCTCAGCAATCATTCTTCGACACCTAGGCACCATGAGCTGAGTAGTTTCTGCAGCTGACCGTAGACCCTGCCTGGTTGATTTGTAAAGTGAAGTGCTACCCTGAGGTTAAGTGGGAGTGAGCCCGTGGAGTGATTTGTAGATATGCAAAAGAATTGTGAAAATGACGCGGTTTGAACAGGAAGCCAATAAAGTGATTGAAAAGATGGGGGTTGATGCATATTGGCACGGCATTTTAAAACTGCTTAAACGCGAATACGTTCACGGCAAAATATATCCTATAGGTTGGTTCTAAGAGGTTTGACCAGTCTGCATATCAGACTAATAAAGTTCACTGGACGTCCAGTGCCAACATTCGTGAATACTCACGGCACTGCAACTTACCAGTGGGGGGGCCGGCAACACCCCTGACGGATGTATCTCGCAGCAAAGCCTCCGGTGGCTCACGGGTACGGAGGCTGCTGCTCGCATCCTGACCAAAGTTGGCAGCAATGCGGATGGGCCTTCGAGGTCTGTTGCGGCCACCGCCTGCTGAGGTGTTGCTGCCTGACGCACGTAACTGGCTTAAATACGCCTGATTGAAGATCTCAGGACCGTTGCCATCAGACGGGGGTCCATACATATCAGGTTGTATGTCGCTTAAGTCCACTTGTTCCAGCCAACTACACCCCCCCCAAAAAAAGAGAGAAAAAGCAAATGAAATCGCAATATTTCTTTAAAACCAGCCAACAAGAGTTTTTGTGAGGCAGTCAATAACCTGTCCCATTCATATCAAATTACAATAAGGGGATAAAATTGCCAAACATTTGGTGCCAGAGTGTGATGCTGATATACTGAAACACTACCCAAAGTACCCGGTCTCTAATTGTTTGCAACGTTTCAAGCATTATTTCACCACATCTCATTCCGTTCAGTTGCTTTGTTTGCTTCGTCCCAACATCATCCTGCTCTCGGCTCCGACCTGACTGATTTTTGTTGCTAGTTTTCTTTGGCTGGTTTTTGTCTTAATAGGGCATTTCTGTCGAAGATTTTGTCTTCTGAATATGTCTCTGCGTCATGTCTCGGGTTGTGGCTGGGGGTTGTGGAAATCCCTGGTAAGCCCCGAGGGAGCCACTGGCTCGGGGCTGTCAGAGCTGGTAATAGAGAGTTGCGACAAGAGTGTCTTTAGTGTTGGAACCAAAATGGTGGATCATGTGTCAGTGCACATGGAAAATAAGCACACAGCAGCTGCACGCTGTATTGCACAGATAATGCCCAGCCATTTTGGTTCCAAAGTGTGAAGTTGACGCTACTCTCTCCATACACCGCTCGGGGAGATGTCGTCTTTTCCCGGCAGCTGCGCAGCAAACCAAGGAACAGTCACCGGTAAAGTATACTCCACGTCTGGAGGTAAAATGTTGAAAATCAGTTCGGCTTTGCCATTTCTGACCAACTTACCTCGTGTCCAGATTGCTTCTGGATCTGTGGTCGCGGGAGATGTAGAGTTGCTCCAGCGACAATGCCAGGTCCCTGTCTATTGCACTGGATATAAAAACAAAAAAAACCAGACATCACAGGCTCAACTCCCCCTCAACAAAACAAAAAAAATTGAGAATAGTAGTCAACGACATGTGACCCTCACTCTAGGTTACAATCAACCGATAAATTTCCTGCAGCTGATGGGTTTGGTGCCACAACGTGCCTGCTATAATTATATCTGCATGATGGGCTACTGGAAGTGAAGTCCATGCATTCGGAGGGCTTTCTGTGCACCCCCCCCATCCCAACCCACTCCCCCCAAACGGGAAAAAGATGTTAACCGAAATAATTAGGGATGTAATCGCTCAGGAGAACACTTTTCCTGACCCCGTTCAAATTTCTTAGCACCATGATTGGGAGGGGCTCAATCGATTGGCAGTAACCTCACAAAATCTTGATAGATCAGAACCTAACTTGATAAATTAAATGTTCATGAATACCTCTCGAAGAAAATGTCCTAAATTGCCATGGCAACCACACACAGGAGTTGCAGGGCCAAGACACTTTGAACATATAGATTGCGTCTCATAATTTAGGATACGTTGACTTTTCAAGCTTTGCACTGCCAAACATCTTTGATGTTGAGCTTAAAACTTATTGCTTTTAAATATTTTGGTCAGCTGCCTTGAAAATTCGGCTTGCAAGCCACAGGAACGGGGTCTGGAAATTGGGCAGGCAAGATCATTGCTCAGCAGCAGCAGCAAAGTCATCAAATCATTGACCGACTCACCTCCTCTCCTCGTTTCGGGGCTCATTGTGGCTGAGGGTCAATGTGCCGCATGGGTTCACACTTTGCAGTCTTTGCTGCCGTTCTTGCCAGCCACTTTCCACGCATTCAGGTTCCGTCTGGCTCCTGAAGTTCACACTTGGCATTCTTTGCTGCAATTTTTGGAAAGCGGACTAGACACTGTACTTCCTTTTCCTCTTTGGAGGTGTTTTCATTTGCGACAGTTGAGGAATAGACAATGTCTATCTTTAATCATATGATAAAATCACATGATAAAATCAGGTGATTGTTTTTAAGAGACTGAAAGTGATATAATTAAGGATTAAGTCGCAAGCACGACCAAAAAATAAACACATGCACACAAATCTTATGCACACGATCTCTTGCATCTTGTCTGTCTATGTTGTTGAGTCTGCAACTGTGGAGGGGAAAAAAGAGCAATTATCCCCCACATCTTTGCCAAGATGCTCACCGACTCCACCAAGACGCAATGCCCTGTAGGCTGGCGGTAGGTAACTGGTGGTAAAATTGATGTTCTTAAAATACCTACATCAAGGAAACAGCAGAAGGGGGAGGTTCAGACTTGAGTCCATCAAAATATCAGAGCTTTGATTTTGACAGAGTTGGGGGTCTAAAACATTTGGAGGGTAGCAACTTACAGATGCATCTCATTATTTAGCATCTAATTATTTTACTTTAATCCTTGGGGGAAAAGGCTCTTAATGCCATAAATGACTGCTTCAACAGTGTACATTGTGACAGAAAAGAAACAAATTCATCACAAAGGCAACGCAGAAACAGTTCTGATCTGGATCGGCACGTTGCGGTGCCACATAAGGTTGTACTATGCTGGGCTTGAGGTGATAATCTGTCCTTTCTTTTTTTTCGAACACTCTAATAAGACCAATTTTATTCTGCCTGGAATCGAACCTTTGGAAAAACCTCCGTTAGCTGCTACCACGAGTCAGTTGCAAAAACGATTGGGCGAGAACTGTGGGTCGGATTCCAGGATCACGTAGTACTCTACTCCGGAGTGAAGCCCACCGAATCGTGAGCTGGTTACAGAGAAAGCGGCACCAACTGCAGACTTTGAAACCAACATGGCTGTCCATTATGCATGCAGTAGAGCAAGCAGTTATTGTGTGCATATTGTCCACCCTTTGGTTCCAACAATTGAGACACTCTAGTCGCCACTCTCTCTATAAACAGCTCTAACCAAACCTTTCCAAAGTCACCTCCTCAAAAACAAGAGAAATGCAACTTACTTCCTCATTTCCAGCCTTGTTTAGATTTGCCAGACTGGTCTCGGGAACGTCTGGGTTTTCAGCAACTTCCACTGGGACAGATCTACGCTGAGCAGAGGCGGCTGAAACTGAAAGAAAGGACAAAACTAGGAAGTTCAGTGAAAAAAAGCCCTGGTAAGGATGAGAGAATTAGGCTGGCCACACACCAACTCAGCTGTTACCTTGGCCAGGCCCTGCCTCAGTCTGTTCTCCATCTTCTAGCTTGTACTCTCCTGCCTCTTGTTCTCTTCTGTCAGACAGCAAAGGCTCTTCTTGTTCGGCAACAGCCTGGTGACTGGCACCCCCAATCTCTTCCCCTGGTCTGGAGTTACCCTCCTCCTGTTTGCCGTCAAATCCTTCAGGAGGGCTGTGCTCTGAATGCGAAGGATGGCCTCTTTTGTTCCTTCTCTTTCTCTTTTTGCGACCTGGGCTGTCACAACTCGGAGCCTTCTTGGTCGGGTCTGAGGGGCGTGGCCTCTTCCTCTCATCGTCATCATCATCATTGTCACCGACTTTCTTTCCCGCATTCAGCAGCTGCGTTACGCCCCTGGATGTAGTGGTTGCTCCTCCCTTGTCAGGAGGCTATTTTAGTGAGAGAAAAAAAAGAGACCTATTATACTTGCCTTGAATACAATCCACTGGACGCTCCCTGCATGACATCCGAAACTGTGCAACAGTAATATTACTGGCTGTACACTGCTAAATCAAGTACAAGTTGCAAGGCCGTAGACGTGAATTCAACAAGGTAACAGCACCGGTCATGAAACTAACCTGCTCACGGTCACCCTTTGCCGAGTTTTCCTGTTTGCTGCCTGTTTTATCACTAGCCGCCTTCACCTTGGGCGCTTGGGGCTGAAGAGCAGAAGTGCCTAGAAGTAAAAAAAGGAAGGGAGAAATGTATGAGCTTCAGTGAGAAAGAGGCTTGGTAGGGCAAACCGGATGTCGCTTCATCACACATCAAATCAACAACATTGAGAAGACTCTCAGGAGTTGGAACATTCCCATTCTGTTGGACTGTTCCATTGGACCATTCCAGCACTGCTCACTGTTCATCTCATTCACACTAGTTACCTCTGCAAGGAGGTGCTTTCTTTTGCTCGTCTGTTGCGGCTTTGGCCATTTTGGTTCCCCTGGGTGGGCTTCTGCTCTCACTCCTCCTACGCTTGGTCACCCCATCTATCCTGACCCGTGAGCGGCTCTTGCGGCCGCCCTCGGCGATGTCACGGCCAAGTCCAGGATCATTCTCCTTTAGGAAGACAGCGGAATCTGTCCAATTCTTGTCCCCTTCTTGCTCTGGCTGTAATTCCTTCTCTGTCTTCTGGAGCCATCTTTCTCCTCTTTCCTTCTGACCCAGATTACCCTTCTCCCTACCTGCTCCCGCCTCAACCGTCTCCTCCAGGCTTTTTTCATTTACTCGGACATTCTCTGTCTCTTTTATGCCGCGAGAATAACCTGTCAGAGAATCACCTGTTTGTAGAAACCGAAAAATTGGAAAAAAATACCAATTTAAAACAACAGAATTAAAATTAACACAGTATTTCAAGTGCTGTTTTTTTGGAGGGCAGAAAGGCTTGTCAAACACTAGAGATTTCTGGGAAAGAAAGAGAATGGTACATTCCAAAGAAATTTGATTGACATTGTTTTCAGGAAAAGCAATCCTTGCTTTACACAGTAGGGTGGACTGCCCAGTCTGCAAGCTTCAAACAAGCCGGCTACGGTAACCGACTTCAATCAATTAGGGCTTGACAGTCACCCAATTAACACAGTCCCCTTGTGCAAAGACGCAATGACCTCAAATTTATCTTTTCATACTCGGACCCTTACTATCAATGTCTGATTGTACTCCCTTTCTTTAAATTAACCCTCCTATGCTAAGATGCATTCTTGACACAGTTGACATATCAGTCAAAATCAGTCAAATTTCCCGTACGTGTCTGCGTACTGGGGGAAATCAATTGGAAGGCATTTTGCACTGTTTCTGATGGTTCAAACACTAGGAGGGTTAAACAGGAATTCACAACAAGTACTTGGGAGCTGCAACAAATCCCTTCAGACTTGATATTTGATATTTATTTCGAGTCATCTCACTTAAGGTGTATAGTAAAAAGACATTCTAATACAATACAAGTGAGGAACGGTGGAGGCTGGTGGCAACAGCACTAGCAGTATTATTTATTCGCAAGTTTTTCACGTTATTGTCGTAATACATTAATTACTTTCAACTGTCCAAGTAAGAGTTTCTTCAAGTACTTTTTTAACACCAGTCACTGACCTAAAAATGGTAATTTGTGGGAATACGGGTACTCGATTCCCAGCAGAGAGGTGTCTTCATCTGAGCACTGCCTGTGATCCACCTGTGAAACGGCGGTACAGCTGTGTGATGAATCCTGACGCTGAACTGGCTCTCTGCATCTACAATGACAACAGTTCAGCCAATTGTGAATATATAGAAATAGACCGAATGTAAAGTTTCTTCCTTTCCTTCTTGGGCACACTTTAATTCTTTTCGATGAATTCCCATGGCTCTTACAAGCTTTCCAGTCAACGATTTCTTCAGTAGGATATGTACTGTACACGTCCTCAAATAAGAAAAGGAGGTTTCTTTTGTGCGCATGCCTTTAATTAACAACACTACAGGAACATGCATGTGCACAGACTCCAATGGGAATGCGGAGAAACCACGGGACACTACACATGAACTGTACATGTAGATAACGTTAATACAAACCTGCTATATGGAACGCGTCACAGACATATGTAAACATACATGTACACTGGATCGTGACTCATTACCCAAATATGGCAATATCTGTCCCTAATAAAAGACAAGTATGGCAGAAAATAACCAGGATTTCCTTTAAATGTCAACAAACTTGCCGAAAAAAGCATCACTGTCTGGCACTGTTGGCAAACTCTTTGTTCATTCTGACTGTGCTTGAAATGAATTCAAACTAAAGATTCCAATGTACAGACGGTGTATTCACGTGGCATATATGACAAACTGAGTAGCGTCTGTACTGGACTGCACACTAACACTGCCTTCACTTGTCTGGAAAAGCTTGGCCGATATTAAATGTTTAAAAACTACTTTACGGCTGTCTTAAAAAGATTTCACACATGCACAAAGAGTGATTCTAAGAGATGTTCACTGTACTGTTCCTTTGAAGTTCATGCACGGGGAACTGGAGTACGAGTAGGCTGAGTGCTGTGTTCATGGCACATTAAGTCACCATGACTCGTATTTGTTTGCTATGTAAAACCTTTGTGCAGTGTATGTGCATGTGGGTTGTGCAGGCCAGTAAATAGGCCCCAAATTGCCAGCGCAGTTACACTTTGTCGGCTGTTACGAGAGCACTTCATGGTACTTGGACTGGGTGGTTTGTATAAGAGGATCGAGGATGGAATCTAGGAGCAGAACAGTCAGCTTGTATTTCTGAAAGTATCGGACCAAACGGGGTCCTCCAAATTGCTCTATTTTGCAATGGAGTTTTTGCAATTTTCATAATGGCGATGGAGCTTGTTATCTCTAGAAAGTAATCCCTTCAAAAATCATCAGTTAAGCCATGGAAACTTTACTGGTCTGCAACCTGTAACATGAACATTCTTGCATCCCTGAATGGAATTTTCCCCAAGATAATAAGTGCCCTGAAGTGGACCTCTGGAGGCAAAATTTAAATAAATTCCAGACAGAGTGACCCCAGCTACTGGATCAAGACTTGGCTTTTTGCCAACAAAAATGCAAATGCCAGCAGAAGATTCCCCTCTGGCTGGTGCAGTTTACACTGTCTGAATGAACTAATCAAGCATTTTTTCATGTGTAGCCTACTACAGATATAGCTCCTGTGAAGCAGGCCTCCATCTGGAGGCAAAATTTACTTAAAATCCAGACAGAGTGACCCCAGCTACTGGATCAAGACTTGGCTTTTTGCCAACCAAAATGCAAATGCCAGCAGAAGATTCCAGATCTGAAAGCATTTCCTGCCCTTTGTCATTTGCATTTTCTGAAACCTCCTCTTAGTTTTTGATCACAGGCTTTCTTTGATTTCCCCAAAATCATGGGGGAGGCATCTGACTTCAGCAATCATTTAGATTTGAATCCTCGCCAGTACACGTTTGGAAGAAAACACTGGCTGAGAAAACTATACAGAAAAAAAACCCACAGTTTTCACAGGCCCTTTAAGCACCCCCCCCCTTGAAAGTTGATCTTACCCTTTGTTTTTAGCACTGAGTGAACCCGTGAAATAACGGTCAACTGATACAAAATGTTTTCTGATATGTACAGATCAAAATAGTTACAATACGAGTAACAAAGTTAGATAGAGAAGTCCTTTTATTTGAGTGTTTGATTAAAACTGTATAACTCTCCAAAATGGTCAAAAATCAAATTAAACGCCTGTTTTTCATCATTTACCGCATGTTTTTCCACAAAGGCTGATAAACGACACGCAGATCTACATGTCACTATACGTGTAATCCTAACAAAGCTTCCACTTGCCAATTTTCCGTGAGAAAAATTGTGACACTATGTTCACAGAAAAATATCTTCATGTTGATCAGGCTCTATGGACATGTACATAGCATGCATGTAACATGTATGTATATGCATGTACACGTGCATGTGCTCTGTGCATGTACAATGTACATGTACATGTACTAGTAATGAACTATACATGTAAATTATTTCTAATTCCACTAGATGCTAGTTTATTTCGGTACATGTACATTGTATAATTATGTTGTGCAGTGAGTAGGCATGGACGTGTATTCACATTCAACAGTGGATGTGTAACAAAAGGGGACAAAGGGTCCACGGTTGCCGAGGAGCGCACGGTTGAAAAAACGTGTACAAAACATATGGGAGGTCTTCCGAAAAAGTTAAAAGTATGAACAAAGGAGGAACAACAGGGAATCCACGATTGAAGGCACATGACTGTGTGTACATACATGCATGTACATGTACATGCATATGTTCATGTACACAATGCGGTGCACAAGCTCCTTCAGTTCATAAAAGATTGGAGGTTTAAATGGTTCAACACTAGGTAACGTCCTTCTCAATTTAAGAAAACCCCTCCCCCCCTTCAAAAATAGTACTTTCTGATAGTCAGTGTTTATTTATGATGTAGAGCAATTACTGGCTGCTTGGCTACAGCTACTGGACACATTCAATGGCAACAAAACTCCCGAATTTCCGATGCATACACAACACTCCCACAAATACTGTTATGCACACCTACAGGTACAATCACTTATGACTGGGCCACCAGCCCTGGCAAATACCAGTAAATAGAGGTGAGGTTACCAATTAAAACAGACAAAAAATATGGGCATGTTCAAATGGCATTCCTGACCACTTTCTCTCTGGGAGAAATCTCTTTGTTTCTTGTAGCCACGTAGGCAGTATTGCCGAAGCAGGTAATGTTTTCCTTCTGGCTTATAGTGACATCTGCTTGCATGGAATTTTCCATCACACAATAATCAACCAAGCTTGCTAGGCCACCAGACATGAAGACGATACCGGCCGGGCAGACATTTCTCCTTGATTGTGGGGAGGGACGTCAATTTAAAGGGAAAACCCCTGATCCGTCAGTTCCTTTTATATTTTGTTTTGCTTTGTTCCCCCCTCCCCATACCAAATTCATGGGGGGGCGGACATGTCCCCTGTCCACCCCGGGATTTCCGCCCATGCCAGTCCAAGTGAGAAACACACTGAAAACGGATGACTGGTGGCTGTTTGGCTCACTTGAAGAGCTTCAAGTGTAAATGGATTCCTGCACAGGGTTCTTCCCTGGACCAGGCTACCACCCACCCCCGAACACAAGATGGGAATAAACCCAAGGTGCGTTTTGTAAAAAAAATCTGAATGTGCTATATACTTGGGGGGCATTCGTATTTAAACAATTGTTAGGTGCAACTAACATCGCATCAGCTCCAGCTCAGTTTGGCTTATCGATACAACTTTGTGTCATGCCTTTATTCAGCACTGCTTCGCACACAGAAACTCTTAGATGAGTTGACCTCTGACATGCGCTAATAGACTGGTCATCTGTCACGTACATGTACATGTAAAAACACGACAGAATTCTTTTTCGATTATCCACATTTTGTTTTATGCGCTAACAAAGATTTAGTACAAACAAGAAGCAGGTTATCTCTCAAGTTGTGACTTCAGGCTTTCATCAGCATTTGAAATTTTGATTTTCATTCCAACTTACTTTAATTGTAACAAAAAATGCTTGAGTTAAAAGGATATTCCACATGCACTGCATGGCCGTTATTACATGTACCTACAAGTTATCCTTACACTTTGGTTAAAACCTTTTCAACTACCGTATGTTGAGATAAAATGTGAATTTCATCCAACACTAACTGGACGACAGAAATGAAGAAGACATCTTGTAAAGTCCAAGTGCGGGAACAACTGTCCACAACACAAAACACAGCACATCTTGCTTTCGGTGCTGGGGGAGGGAAAAGGATGTTTGGGGAAAATATGGAAAGCCTACTCCAAAATCCGTCGGGGGAAGAGTTGCTCTTCCACTGGATACGCCACTGAACACGAACATGTAAGATGCTAGGTACAAAGACCACACACTAATTCATACTTTGGCTGGTAAACAAATTAATCTACTTACAGTACAAGGATGGAGTTGCAAGCCCTCCATTTGGTATCCGGCTCGTCGCCTGGGTAGTCCATCACCAGGATGCTTTGAGCTTCTTGGCTTAATCTGTCAACAGCCAGCCGTCTTTACAATCAGTCTTGCTTGGCAGGTTTCTTGGATGAACTCTGTCTGAACAAAAGAATTAAGGTACACCAGAGGGTCATGCTTTATACAAGCTCCGAGGGTGTTTTGCATAGGCAAGAGTCCGTGGAACTTTGCGCAAGTCACAGTGACATCACAATGCACGTGAACCACTCATGCATCTTCCATGTGACCATGCAGTTTGCCACAGTTGAAACCCCAGCCGGAATCCGTTCAATTATTCACGCCTAACGTAGACTAGCGACGGCCAACCAGATTTCAACCTCTGCATGGGCACACCAGTCGCAGTCGTATTTCATCATACTGTGACGTCGCCGTCGCCGTACACATCTGAAAAAGGCCACAAACGCTTGTCCTGGGGTCCCGCTGCTTCTGGCCTTTATTACATCTCCAACACCGGTGAACACACACACAGTTTGTATACAGAGAACAAGCGAATCTGGATTTCCTGATAAAAGCCCTGGACCAAATCACACCAATAAAAACTTGTCTACCAGAGGGCGCGTAAGCGAGGTGATGGAAAATCCCCAATAGGCTACTTTGCCGGTGCTGCAGGGTTTGGCCCAGAGCCAACCGGCAGGGACGGCATAGCCCCATGGAGCCACACCAGTTTCCCCACCAGCCTATCGTCGCCATTGCTACGTTATTCAGCCTGTGACTGGGAATCTGAGCATGTATTATTCATATTACATGCCATACATGTACAACAACAAATAGCACGCCCATAGGGTTAAACCAAAGTCTGCATTCCTACCACATATTATGCAAGTGTCACAATTGTACAAGATAAACACCCCTTTGGGTAATAATGTGATGATCCAGGTGAAAGTTCCATGTGTGCCATCATGTCTGTGACATCTGAAAGTCATTGTGCTTTAACGGGCAAAATTAAAATGTGTGAAGTTCTGTGAACTTAAAGGGTGAATACATTTATGGTTGCTATGACCTGACAACTTCCTGTTTGCATTTCCTTTCATAATTTTAAACAAGTTTCAGCTATATGTGAATGCAGCCACTGACATGGATCTGTGGACATGCATCATGTACCCACACTTCAATGCAGTGCCAAATTCAACGCTTTGTGTTCCTGCCATATTTGCCAACTACATGCTTGGTTTTTTTTTATTTTTTGTGAGGTTCAAATCTGTACCCACAACTTCCTTGTCACATGGGTCGTTCTACGAAGGCCAGGGTCTAAAGTGGAGCACACGGGCCAATTAGAGTTTCCTGCCCTGTTGGGTTAGCTTACAGGTGTTTGCAGTCCGTGAGGCATGACATTTACACAAAGGCGTGGCATGTGTGACTGCTTTGCTTTGCGTGCACAGCAATGGTGAAACACTTGACACACAAACTCTGACCACGCGGGCCTTAAGTCACGGTGCTCGCATACGTCGGGAGATGGGTTGCATGACTTCATGTACCGGTACATATATGCACATGCAGAGCCTAAAAGGATAATAGTACTAAGCTTCAGCAGCTTCAAGCCAAGTTACTGTAAACGAACGCAAGCAGAAAATATGCACATGTAGGTTAACCCTAACCCCCCAAGGGTTGCTGGCCCTAACCTTCCCCATTCACACAACGTTAAACACCCACATGGGACTTTGTGCACAGAGACTGTTGGACTTTGTTTTTCTGAGGTATGCCACACCCAATGCGAAAGCCAGCTGTTATGGGCTTACCAGACCTATCCCGATGGAATTAAACACTTTACTACTGTTTAATTCTGTGTGGTTGGGGAAAGGTTGGGTTAAACAGTATTGTCTACAAGATAGAACAAGGAGATTTTGGAAACATACCGGCATGTACATGCAAGTTGAAACTGGAAAAATACTCACCAATTAGGATGCTCTGGTGCATCTGCATGAATGGAACCACTGAAAATGATGGTCTCAACTCATGTCCTGTAGCAAGCATGTGCAAAAAAGTAGATCCGCTAAGACGCTAAGATAATTACAGTGTATTAATGCGTTTTACAACCAACAAGGCCAAATGAGGGGAAATTGTTTACAACAAAACTTGAGCCTTAAGAATGAACTTAGGGCAAACTGTAAAACTCACTCTTCAGTCAGAGCCTGGGATTTTATGTACACATGATATCTGGTATGTTTAGCATGCGGAGGTCTATTTGGTATGTCGTGCACAGGCCAAGTTCTTTGACCTTTGGCTGGTACCCAAAATATGTTTTATGTGATGTGCAGTATACAGGCTTCTGGGAAGCAGTGATAAATTTCACAAATGCATGAATATCAGAATAGAATGAATGACGTCACCCTACATGTACCTTGTAAGGTGTAGTCTGGCAAAGTTGACCCTGCACAGCATACATATAAATTACGAACAAAGCAAAAAAAAAATGACAGACACAATGTACAATACAAAATGCACAGGTCAAAGTCCCCTTTAGTCAAATTCATGTCACGTACATGTATTCCCTAAAAAATCCATCAAGTTATTTGGGGATTTGAACTGATTTTTTTTTTCCCTTCACCAAACACCTCTTTTTAAATTCCCATTTTCTGCAAACTTTGTGAAGAAGAAACAGCCAGACTTTTGTGTCATAACAAACCCCCTAGACAACCAAATAAAAAAAGGATACATTTACCATGTTTATTTTGTCCAAACATTTAAGCATCCGTGCGATGAATTTTTCTCAGACAAACTCTGTCTGGATCCTTACACTTCTCTTAAAGGTATGAAAACTTTTTAAATCCTTCTGGGGTGCGGTGTTTTGGAAGGCACACTTTTCGTCGGTTTAAAATTGTCTAGACTTTTCAGGACAAGTGACGGCGCTGTCATCATGATATAAATCAGGTAAGGACACCAGCTGATCAGTTAACATGTATCTGCTTTTATGTTCAACTCGTCAAACTATAAATATGCTTTTAGAAAACATTTCTGATAAAAGGTTGCTCATTGGGTTACTGCACTGCACTTAACATATCACCAAAGAAACAGAAATTCACATCAGAAAGAAAAATGTTCCCGCAGGTTTTTTGTGCACAGATCACTGCAAAATTGGGGAGGCTCGGCGCCCGGGATGACATCACAGATCTGCTCATGAATATGGAAATTTGCCTTAGCATATCCAAAAACGCTCCCACGTACTGTAGTGCTGAAAAAGAAAAACAAAAAAGGGCAAAATTGAATGAAATGTTCATTTTCAAGCTTTTCAAGCTGTTGGTGAAAGGCATTGATTAGTGAAGACACAGACTTATTCAGTTGCTGCAATGGAGGTTTCAACTCCGTGCAATGGAACGAGAACGGTGGCATAATCTTAAACATTATGACAAATTCATAATTCCTACCATGAATACTCTTACCACTGCATCCAATGCTGTCGGCCGCCTCGTATCAAGTGGGTATATATACACAGGCCATCGCTGCTTGTAAGTGACTTTTCTCTAGCCTCTCCTGCCGAGCACGGTGGCACTTTCCTTCATCATGTTGAGAGTGGACCTCTGCACACTGTAGCCCTTGATGCTGAGAGGACATTAGTGGCAGTCTCCGCGAGGGTGCAGACCAATGCGGCATGGTTTCTTGTGATCACTGCTGTGTCTAAGTGCATCCTTGAGGCTGACAACGGTCCTGGTGACCAGAGATCTTGGTCTGGTGCCACTAACCAGCTGGCTGTATGAAGCATTACTTCTTGGCATGCTCTGGTCTTCTGTAACATGTAAGCCTACAGTATGTGTGTTTCGGAGTATACATTCAAAAAACCATCAATCATAGCCAGGTACCATACTACCCGACTAAACCATATCAACATTCAGTAACCAGTTCTAAATCATGCAACCAGGTACCCACAACTACAGTAGATGAAAAAGGATTTTTTATGGGGGGGGGATTTTCCAAGCTTCTTTCTCGCGGTCGGACTTCATTCCATTTCTTGCACTCACAACTAAGCAAAGGGGGAACCCTCTAATTCACTTTCCACAGGGATGTGCATGCTTTCCTGCTTTGCATGTTATGATAAAACTAACTGAAACCTTTTGGTCAGTATAGTGTGGGAGATGTTCCCAAGGCATAAACAGCGACATTTCAGGGCACAAAGCTTGAGTTTCATAATTCAGAATTTTCCCAGACTGCAACACTAATTTACCCCTTCAAGTGTCACAGGTAAAATATGAAATACCCACAAATTGACCAATCAGAGAGAAGAATCAAGACTCAGAGATGTCATTCCGACTGTGAGAATGTGGAATTTTAATATAGGAAAGCAAACACAGATTTCACATTTACACTGTAGTTCTTTGTTCAAAGGTTGTCAACATGATCAATGAGTGTTTGAGTGATTGGCAATTTTCACACTCTGCCCTCTCGGTTAGCCTTTTCTTTTTTGGGGGGGGGATGGGGGGATAGCAATTAGGCATTTGTATGCCGTAAGGAAAGAGTTCCATATACATGTACATGTATACTGATGCCATCACTCGACACCCTGTACACCTACCCTATGAGACAGGTCTTTCTTGAGTGTTTTCTAAGTAAACGACTTCGTGCATGTTGTATATTCTCTCCTGAATTGAACTTTTCTGGACATGTTTTGCTCTTTGATGGCTAACAATAGGTCTCATTGTAGGGAATAATTACAGGCGTCCATATATATGGAACGCTTCCCTACCGTAAAAACAAAACTGGTTGCCTCTGTCCATCCTATAGCTGTGACTGGTTTTTCGCAAAACTGATAAGTCCCTCAGAAAACAAAGGCAACAATCTCTTTACTGCACTGATTCCATTTTTTGGAAATTTCAAATTGTAAGAAAATGTGACTTTCGTACTGATAAACTAGCCATTCAAATTCAAATCCACCATGAGTCATTACACTCACAATCTTCCATCAAAACTCAAAACCTTGCCCTTTTTTGACAACATCAACCATACACTGAGTCAGCATGAAGTCACAGTCACCTACCAAGGTGAATTCAAGTTAAAATGTAACTCTCCCTTTTATTATAGGAACATGATCCCCAAATTTACAATCCCCCAACTTTTATACCCAAAAAACAAATTTAGGCATGATGGTCCGGTGGAATACTGAATAATCTTCTTATCAGGGAATATGGTGGCGAGAGGTTACTGAGAAAGTGGGCTCCTAGCCTTCTGATGATTGAAATCATTCAACATTGTTAAGTTTTGACACTTTTACTGAGCCCTACTCACGACAACATTGCTCAATTTTTGGAAACAAATACATGGACATCAAAAGTAAAGAGAAAGCTCACCAGATGTCAGGTACTATGGACTAATTTTCGGCCCCGTCGGAGTGTGCTTGGAGCCCTCCACTATCAGTCACAGATGTACATGTACGTGTCTGAGGCACTTGTAGCGCGTGCGCGGCCCTACCGTCTCGCGCACTCATGCTTGGTGCTTTGTTCCCCACTTCCCTACATTTTTATACCGAACTGGTTCATTATAACATGATTATAACATGGAGGTGTGATTCCACCTCCATGAATATAATTAATAGGGGGGTACTGTTTTGGGGTGGGGGGGTTCTTGCTTTTGCTCTTTAGGAAACTTCGTTTGGCTTCATGAGCTGAATTTGATGAATTGTAAGAGGTTTAGTGTGGAAGAAATTCAGAGGACAATGTCACCAGGTCAAAACCATGAACGGTTAAACGACAGATTCTGAATATTTTGCTCGGAAACATTCCAAAGGGCTGACCTAACTTCACTCAAAACTTGCCTTGGGGACAATCATTTTCAAAAATCTCAAGATTTTCATGACATTTTACAAAGGAATTGTCAAAAATTAACCTGGGATTTTTAATAAACTTTGGCCAAAGCAATTATTGCAAGGGGATTTATCTACTATTTTAATACAATTTTCTAAACAAGAGTCACCAAATTAAAGGATCGACAAACCAAAAATGTTGCTATTGTGAATTTTAATGATTTTTCAGCTCGTACATTCCAAAGAACAGTTTGAGTTCAGGCACATATGACTGGGAATTAGTGTTACAAAGATCAGCTCCTGTGTGCTGTAATAAGGTTCTACATTTATAATACAGAACTTGACAAAATTTGAATCCATGTATCTTCAACTAAGTTTGTGCACAGAATATAATCGTTTTCTGAAAAATGTCATCATATTTCATGGACGTCAGCGTCCTTGTTGTCTGCTGACCCAAACTTCATTCAGTATTTTGTAACAATTTTCTCCCTGTGAAGTCGGGGGAAAAAAATGAAAATACGTAAAACCGATAATAACTCACATCAGAGCCTTCCCAATCTGGAGTAGTCTCATACAGTATTGAAAGTACATTCTTATAAGATCTGTAAGAAGTGAAAGATTTGTCCCCAGACTGGAAAAGTGCTCTTACTGAGGTGGGACGAAAAGCCGTTGTTCCATGACACCATTTACAGTTGGAAAGATACAAGTGTGTCCCCCGCAAAAGGTGCATGCGCTTACTGGTCATTTTAAGTGCAAAGTGTAAACTGGTGGCGTTGGTAACTTGCTTGCTTTTAAGGCGGACACTCTCGGCTTGATTTTTTGTACCATCGTCATATATGCTTTTCGTGATCAAGAGGTGTGCCCCTGTGAACACAGGCACTCCAGAGCGAGTTGCACTGTTTGGATTAACTGTGATCACTGGACCAAACTGAAGAAGTAAACAAAAAGCACTTTTTCACCTTGACAATTTGATTTCAAAGGCGATGCTGACGACACTATGAACAGACATATTACGAGTACATTTTCCCTAAAATGTGGCACAAACACAGTTTTAAGAAAGCTGGGGAATCTTGTGTTTTACTGGGACACATTTCTGGATTGCCAGAAGCAAATAAGATGAAACAAAAAGAACGCATCAAACTGAGATTGTCCTCTTTAAAAACCATTAAAGTTATGAAAGTAAAACTGACGTGTAACGTTGGAAATGGTCGTCGCTTGCACCATTTTGGGGAAACACACACCATATTATACAAAGAGTGAATGATTCTGAGTGCAATGGTAAAAATAATTTCATGAGGTGACAGATGAAATGTTCCATTCCATGAGGCGAAGCCGAGTGGAATGGAACAGTTTGATGTGTTACTGAATGAAATTATTATTGTCAACATTTGCATGAATGTAAAACGTTCCATTATTTGTTTTAGACAATACTGCATAAATCCTCAGAACAAATGGTCCTTTCGTGATAAATTCCACATTTTGGGAAACAGATTTGTGTCCAAAGAGCCACTCACTGGCTTGCACTGGCAGACTGGTTCCCGTCCCAACATTTGACACTATTTTCCTCTTCCTTGCTAGGACTGAAATAGACGAAATGGGGGCTGGAACCAGTCAAGTGAAATGAAGTTCTATTCGACGGATTCTGTTGAATAGAACGAATAATTTTAATGACACATGATCAGCGATCTACCAATCAGATGATGAGGATTTGTGCAGGTGTTGTACAAAACATAATACAGGGTTTCCTTTGTGCAGAAAGTATGGAGCAAAACTCATTCAGCACTTTTTCCAACCCATTTGGTGCGAGAGGCTTGCTTTCACTTAATTTTCCAAGTGGTCTCGGATACATCTTCCAATTGTAGAGTTGAAGTTGAGTTCATCCATCATAACTCATTTTCTCAAGTGTGACAAAGGCATTCCTTTACGTAAGGCGGTGAATTTTCAGCAGTTTCCACGGGGAAATGGGTGCCCACATTGGTAGGACCTCTGCACCCAGGCAGCTGTGATCGCTCTTTGCAAACTCAAAAGCCTACAATTAGCTGCGCCACTCCATGAACATACAATCAACCAGTATCTAATCATGGGCTGACGTCAGCAAATGAAATCAAGTCAAAGCCAACAATTTGTACAATACAATGTATTTTGGCCATGACTGGTCTACAGAGATCCTGGGTAATATCCCCCCCCTCCCCGAGAATCTGGTTATCCACCATTCAGTATCAGGTAGCTGGATGAACATCAAAACTCTTCTCACCACAGTTTGGGATTGACTTGGAACAGGTCCATCCAAACTGCTGAGAAGATGTTCTTGCTTCTCGTTTATCCCGAAAGCCTCTTGCAAACCAGAATGACTGGAACTTTCCATACGGAATGCTGGTTGTCCATTCTAAATGCAAACACTGTAACACTACTCTTACTTGGATGACCTCCAAGAGCTAGTTGTTTCCGCAATGCGTGTGACGTCAGGTTCACTAAAAATTACTCTAAAAAAGTCTACTGACCAAAGTTACAGCATTATTTACATGTAAATAACAAATGCTGAAAACTGCTAATTCAAGGTACATTACGGATGACATAAAACGTACCAATGGAGCCACAAAATGTGCGGATACGAAGTGTACAGATGTAGGAAGTTATGCAATTGATAAAAATGCAATGGTAACAATTTCAAAAGGGATGGAACGTTCCATTTCATGAGGCAAATCCAAGTGGAACGGAACAGGCCATCTGTCCCGGAAACCATTCTTTTCACTGCGCAAATGTGAAATATTCGCTATCAGTATTTGATTAACGTAACGGCTAAAACAAATTTTGAAAGAAATATGACCCCGGCGAGTCCCGAATAAATCCAGCAAATCTCTCTCCATCGCCTCTTGTGGGCGATGAGCTTTATTACAGCGTCACAAATAGTACGACCATACACGGGGCTGGACGGAACATTCCATTCTTGTGGCGCGGCTGCACAGTGCACAGGCGTGAACAATAACCATTAAAAATCCCCCCCTCAGATGACAGGCATCAACTTGGGCACTGCATCAACACATCTAATGATATAGTTACTGATGACTCTCTTCACAAAGTGTATTTTTCATAGGTAAGGCCCCGCGTGTGATAAAAAAGACGGAGAGATTTGGATGACAGATGGTTTCCCGTAAGCAATGATGCAGGGCGGAGGTTCTGAATGGAGGAAGTCTTCGGAAGATCTGAGTGCGCATCCATCGAAGCAGAGTACTCAAGTTTTTTCCCTTCCCCCCCCCAAGGAAAAGTCCCTTTTTAACTTGGTTGAAGGAAGAATTACATTCACATAGTTTGGGAACTGTTACAGAAAATACTTTGACGGAAGGAAGAATCAATCACTCATTGTGCAACGTGCCCCCCCCATTTACTCTGCTTGAGTGGCCAGGGTGATCTGGCCGTTGCAGTTGCTGCGCCACAGCCACACGCCGACTGCTGACGTGGCTACGGCGACGACGTGGTGCTCGCCGCGGCCGAAGGTGTGATGCAGGTCGATGGCTCCTTGCGACGCCTGCCAACAAAGGGTAAACTCCTTCTCTTTGAGCTGGACGGAGATTTGAAAAAAGGAGACAAAATGAAATTGGGACAAAATTTTAAAATCTACAAAGTTTGGGGTAGCATAGATCAAGGAGGACGGCAAACTCTTCCACACAAGACCACACCAGCGCAAACCACAGAAAGGACATCTCTCTGTCCATGAGCGGGACAGTATCCTTCAATTGGGTATTTTCATCTCAAGGGTAGCTGTTGATTGGGGAGTGAAGAGGTCAATGCCACTGAGGTATATTTCAGGGGGGGTCTGGGGCTTTTTTTCTCCTAGAATAAAGCAAAGGGTGTTCAAATCTGTAAAGGATTCTCACTCAGGGGTCCCAAAAAGTTACGCTTTTTTTATTTGCAAAGGAGAAATGGAGCCCAGCATCTTGAACTGTCCAAATTCACAGGGTTCGCGGATGATACTCAGATTTAGCAAACAAAAAAACAAAAAACAAATGAAGTTAGGAATCTGGGTCTATTGCTGACAACATTGACGCTCCCACCTTGGACTGCAAGTAGTCGGGCTGGCGTACGATCTCCTTGACCAACTGACGGGCGGTGAAGTCCAGATCCACCTTCATCCGCATTAGCCTGGCACCCTCTGCGTAGATGTTGATCACCGAACCAACTGTAAAGAAGATGCCAACACAGAATGCAATAGTGCCCAATTAAAACCACAGGCTCTTTTCCCAAGTGCCAATGTACTGTTTTGGATCTACAATGATTTGTTTTTCTTCAGAAAAAAAGTTCTACAGCCAATACGGCTAAGACTATGTGGAATCCTTGTTCAACCCACCAGTTTTGAGCCTGTGTAGTCACCTCTCATCTGGGGTTTACCCAGCCCATACCCAAATCGAGAAAACTGACATCCCTAGGAACCCCCAAGTCAAGTGTGAACAATCTCGACCCCCTTGTGTACAGTCACTCTAAAACTGACATCCCTAGGAACCCCCAAGTCAAATGTGAACAATCTCGACCCCCTTGTGTATAGTCACTCTAAAACTGACATCCCTAGGAACCCCCAAGTCAAATGTGAACAATCTCGACCCCCATGTGTACAGTCACTCTAAAACTGACATCCCTAGGAACCCCCAAGTCAAGTGTGAACAATCTCGACCCCCTTGTGTACAGTCACTCTTGCCTCCCCTTTCTGTTGGGCTGGGAAGCAATCCCAGTTGCTTTGTCAGGCAAACAACAGCTACCGTTTTCACTAGTCCCGGGCCCCAGAATAATCTCAGGAGTCGCGGGCTGACTGGCAGTGTTCAGTGGTGGAGGGGGGGGGCAGGAACAGGGATTGTGGGAAGGCTAGGGCAAAAGCTGATTTGCCAGCGGCTGTCAAGGTACCTCTGATGAATCAACATGTAAATGAACAAAGTGCTTCAGTTTGTCCTGTGTGCCCAGTGGACAGGCCTCTATTTGACCTTTTCAAGCTACTAGACTGGCACTGTGTCCTACAAACGAGACGAGTATGGATTTTTTTTAGGCTTGGCCGTTCCAAGGGTCCTTTTAAAAAACATACATATACAAAAATGCACACAGATATATATCCATTTTTGCTGTGAATTATCTCCTTTTTCTGTCCTAATCACAACAGCCTTGTTTCATTTCTCATTTGCTTCCTGTCAGGAGTATTTCATTTTTAAAAATAACACCTAGGTGAAATTTCTTAGAGGGGCAAAGGGGAGAGATAGGTGCACCATTTTCCCAAGAGTGCACGGAAAGCAAATACTTCAGCTCGTAGATAGGTTATGAACATTTCAAAATTCAAACAGGGAGGGGGGGACGAGGGCAGGGAGGGGGTGGGAACCAGGAGAGACGGGGACTGGTGGGGAGGGCACAAGGGCAAATACAAAGTGAAGGGGGGGGGGAAGATTTCAATGGCTGGAAATAGAGACCTACAGGAGATAGCAGAGCTGACACTCTCGGCAGTGTCTGTCACGGAGGCCATATCCTCGGCAGAGTGCCTGGGGGAGTTGGTGTCCACGCCCGACGTGTCTATGGCTGCGGCGGCACCAGCGCCTCCGATGTCTGGCTCATCTCGCGGAATGCCCTCCAGAGATGGCAACCATCCAGCCTCCGCCTGAAAGACATCCAAAACACACCCTGTGAGCGACTTTTCAAGTGCTGCATGAAAAAAAAAAGTGGGGAGGGGGGGCTCTTACGTGTGAACATCGGCCAGCAATTCTGTCCGGTGGAGAGCCACGCACACTGCGCACCGAGCTTCACTGTGCACATGTGGAATGGTTACATGGGAAATATACAGACTTAAAATTGTTTGCTGCTGTCAATTAACTCTGGAGAAAACTTACATCCACCTGTAAACTACTTACAATGCGTGCGTGGGCGGTACTGATGGAGTGAAAGTCTCTGCTGGACCCGCTAAGTGACATCGGCTGCAGTTCAAAGGATGCTGATGCAGCTGGGCAGTGAAGAGGAAAAGCAACGATACATGACACCCAATCTCCCAAATGAGTTACAAGCGAATAGCGCCACTTTTTGAAGTTGGAGGGCTTTCAAGAGAACTGCATAATGCCTAAATCAATAGATAAATGCAACATTTACCATCCACGTGAAGTCCATTTTACTCCATTTCAGCTCGTAGATAGTTATTAAAAATAACGACGAGGAATAGCTGGCCTTGCGGCTCATTCTGTGGGATCCAGTTTGTTTAACGACGCCAAGATGAGCAAGTCACGGCAAATCACAAATTACAAAGTCATGACAATTCACTGGATGGCAACTCATCAAATCAGAACATTCGTGTAACTTGGACTTCGACAAAAACAAGGGGATTCCGCTCTTTACAAGACTCTGTACAGTATTTTCCAATTTTTAACGGTGCGAGTGTGAACTGAAAAACCGACGAAATCAGCTCTTCGTGACAGTTGGAACCTACCGCTTGTGCCAGAAGGGTTGGCGGGCTCATCTTGCATGAAGCTCGCCGCCGCCTGACTTGCCCCACCGAAGTCGCCTCTAATGGGCCAGGGCAAATCAAAATTGGCGGCATTGCAACTTGGCTGTCGAGGCAGCTTGCGACCACCAACTGACGAGGTGCCACTGCGCGACCCAAGTGATCGGTCTTGAATCGCGCCGTCATTGAATATTTCTGGGCCGTCCACATCAGACGGGGGTCCATACATGTCCTCGTCTGCTCCAGAGGCATCCACGCCCCTATAAACGAAACAAATAAATCACACAGCAATGACAAGCACACACTGTTTGGCATTGCATTTAAGTGTAAGCAATGTCGGCAACAAGTTACAAAGGATAAGTTTGTTACAGCTGAATGTTGCCATTATATTGTATTGTTTTACGTCGTGTCCATGGCTGAGAAAATGTGTGCTTAAGTTGTGGCTGTGGCTAGACATACTACATGTACCTATGGTAATCGCTTAAGCCACCTCCCATAGAAGCTTGTGTTCCATTAAGTCATAGCCAGTGAATTTGACCACAAACCAACAACAGAAGCCACTTCATCAGTGGCTTTAACTAAGGCTTGCCAACTTGGGCTTGTTGATTTCAACAGTCTATTCAACAATGCCACCTCACCTCTGTTCCTCTCTGTCTTCGGGGCTGATGAAGAGATGGGACAGAGACATCTCGTTCTCAACGAGTCTGCTGTCGGGGCGAGCGGCCGGACTGGGAGGGAACTGAGGGAGGCCGTCCTCGGGACCACGAGGGGTCCAGGGTGTGAGAGGACCGGCCAAGACATCGTCCGGTATGGCCGCAGACACCTCCATGGGCTCCGACTCCGCTTCTGTCTCTACTGCAACTGCGAGGCAATTGAACGTCTCTTCCACTGTAGAGAAACAAAAAAATCTTTGTCCTCAAACAAACTCCATTTGCTATCCCCTTCGAGTGCAGGCTGAAATCATTGATTTGGGAGTTTGCATGGCTCATGCATTTTGCCTAAGTATTCTCTCAAGCAGAGCGTTTCTGCAAAATTCATCGGACTGAGGTTTTGCCCCCTCCCAAAAAAAAAAACCTTGAATGAAATATCACAGGCGTATTTCAAAGCTTAGATTATTCTGAGCTTGGGCTCTGAACCATGTGAAGGTCTCGAGACCCAGCTGGATCCAGATGCCACGGTCAGAGATGATGATGTCAACGTACTGAAAATGGCACTGGCCACAACAGAGAATCTTGTCCATGGCCAGTTTGACAAGCTCTGGCTAGGTGTCACACACTCGTCTATGGAAAAAAGGATGCAGCCGCAACCGGAGGGCTTCCATAAGGGCATGAATTATTCCCTGCCACAGACGCCACGTTCAAACACAACTTCGGCTACCCTTAGCAGATCTCCTTTGTACCCTTTGGGCCCCATCGCACCCGTATATGAAGAAAAGCGGGACAGACACTCACCGATGTCAAGGGGTAGAAGTTCCAGAGCTTGGGCGGCTGTGGGCCGCTCCAGGAAGTCCTTCACGAGAGTCTGCTGCAGGAAACGACGCATCCTGGGGTGTGCGTTTGGAGGGATGTCCTCCAAAGGAGCCTGGCTCATGGCAATCTAAAAAAGATAAAGCGGGGGGGTTCATAAAGTTAATACTTAAACTGTTTCGGGAATAAATCTGCAAGAATGCAATGTAACTCCACTCGATCTCTAATGGACTACTGACTTTGATCCATGACAAGTCCTTTCACAAGACCAGTCACAAACATCTGTGAACGACAACAAATGAATGCTTTTGCCCACAGGTCACAGTTTGAATAGCTTCAGGTTTCATTTGCCAGTGGATTTGGAACTTGTAACCCACTCAGAAACCACACAGGAAAACACTGAAGTATTTTCTGGAAAGTTTAGTACAGCAAGGGCGAAGAACGAACTTATGCTAATTTGTGACTGTATTCACGGAGGTACAGTTAACGCAGGTCTTTGTGGTGTCTTTTCCCGCGGCCAAGGCAGATGAATCGGAAAACAGAAGTATCGCCAATTTTGTTTTGGCTGGCCACATGTTTGGTCTCAGCAAGCTCGCCCACAGGAGACCTCCTGGGACTTACGATGTAAATCTTGATCCGCACCCCTTTGAACCTCTGGGACCAGGGAGGGTGACCGCTGATCATGCACAGCAGGGTGCAGATAGTACTCCACACATCCACCCGACCGTCGTGCTTCTGTCCTCCTATCAAGCAAGATCCAAACCAGAAAACCATCAGGTCTTTTCCAGATCTTTTCCCCTACGCTTCAACTACCTACCTAGGCCATACGAATTTTTTCATGCAACGCTACAAAAACATACAACACAGGTAAGCTGGACCCAATCTTATTAGCGTATTAGCAAGCCTATGCGTAAGGTTTAACTTGGCAGAAAATCTGTCACGGTGATACAAAATGAAGTATTCACTGGTACCCTGCAAATATTTACTGCACTGAAAATTCTGAGCTCGGCATCTCCAAGGCGTTGGCCCCAAGAAAACAACGGTGTGGACTGCTCAGGACCTCTTACCGGCAATTTCCGGAGCCATGTAGCACTCGGTGCCCTTGAGCGCCTCGTCGGCCTGAAAGGTCTCGGTCTGCTGCGTGGCCAGGCCAAAGTCGATCAGAAGCGCCCGGTCTCCGGGGAGCATCAAGATGTTGTCGGCTGCAGGAATGGAGACATGCCAAAGGAAGTGAACCAGCTGTACCACTCAGAGCGCACCCCGCATCGAGGGCGCTGCATTGCTGCTATGCGACTTGAGCCACAGAGCTTGTTTGTTTACTTCAGACCTAAAGATGGCCCATGTTTTGGGGCACCAACAAATACTTATTTAACAGTCAAAACCATGCTAAGCGGTGTCCTATCTTGTCGAGATGGTGCTGTAAACTGCCCCATTGTCTTGACATGACATTTATCACACATCCTCCCGTCAACTGACCTACTGCCATAGAATCTCGTCGAGGTAGCTTACAAAGTATTGTTCTATTGCATGAAAAACAAAATGGATGTGGGGCGAGCAAAATCTCAGAAACTATAAAACTCATCGACATATAAAGTCCCACAGGGTTGTCTAAGGGGCATGGCTAACTCGCACATGGCGGTAGGTCGAGTAGCTACTTCCCTCATTCCAAAAAGGGAGTCTGTCTAATTAGTTTCAGGTTCTGCTCATCTGATGCGCTTTCTACTTTAGTCATGCCTAAAAGGTCTCCAAATCTTCTCGAGAGAAAGGTAACAAGCGAAGCAAAGCAAACAATGGTTACGTTTGATGTCCTTGTGGATGATCTCCTGGCTGTGGAGGTACAACACGGCCCACAGCACTTGCTGGGTGATCAGCAACGACCGCCCTTGCCCAAGGACGGACTGGTTGATCAGCTGTTGCAGTGTGCTGCTCTCGGGGTAGTATGCCGAGATGAACAGCACCATGTCGTCGGTGCGTAGCAGGCCAAGCAGGGGGACGATGCCCGGGTGATCCAGCCCACACCAGAGGGTGGCCTCGGTGATTGCAAAAGACCTCACAGGGACCTAAAGAGAGGGAAATGCAAACATGGCTGATCACCGACAGCATAATACTGATCCACTTGTCAGCTGTAGCATTTGTCAGTGCCGTCTGCAGACCAGACGCACATTTTAGGCTAGCATGCGCGACACAGCGACACGACTATCATAGTTTATCTGCTTGAAATTCAAGCGTTAACCCCAACCCCCTAGGCTCCTGCACTAGAAAGCATACTGAACCTCACAAAATCCAACAGGTTCATGTACTTGTCTGTGTACTTGTACAT